CTCGTGAGAAGAGTTAGTCAATCACATGTACTGTATCTCTCTCTTTAAAAAAAAAAAAAACTCAGTGAGACCCTGCCTCTACATAAAATACAAAAAAGGGCTGGGGGTATGGCTCAGTGGTTGAGTGCCCCTGAGCTCAACCCCTGGTAAAAAAATAATACATTAATTAATTAAATAAATTATCTGACCAATGAGGCAAGAGTTTAAATAGTATTTGACACAAAATGTAGAAGTTATGAAAAACAGTATGATGCCTACAGGTAATTTTAAGTGGAACATCATTATTTTTAAAGTTTGACCTATGGAATAATTTATGTGATGGCTAACAACAGGACCTGGTGCTTTTCCCAACTCAATGAAACAAAAATTCTAGGTCCAATTAAAGAAAGGCACTAAATTCTTATCTTAGAAGCAGAGACAACTACAGGATTCCTAAGTGGGGGAAAAGTACAAGAAATTTGGTTTGGAAATATGGTGTCACAGTAATGAGTACTAAGTCCAGCACTGCTTGGGTGGGATCCTGGCTCTTAGCTATGTGCTCTTCAGCAAGTTATTTAACGTCTCTGAGTTTCAATCTCAATTTAAATAAAATAGAAATAATAAATGTTGGTTTTATTTTTTTTAGGTAAGCTCTTTAGAGAATTCAGTGCCAAAATAGTGTTTGATACAAAGAATTGGTGTCCATGGAGCTGCAAAATAGGAAGATTAGATTAACTGAATGACATGCAAGATTTGAAACCACAAACTATTGCAGATAAATATTTGATTGCATTCTACCATAAAAAGAAGACTAAACTCATATGAAAATAGGAAATATTTCATTTTGAATGGAAATCATAACTTTTATAATAGTAGAAAAAAATAATATGTTATTATTTTTATGACCAATTTTATAACCTGGAGAAAAGGGAAAAAAAGTTCTTTTTGCTCAGATCTTCTGTTCTGTTTTGCCTCATTTAAAGCTTATTTTATGGGGCTGAGGCTGTAGCTCAGTGGCAGAGTGCTTGCCTAGCATGTGTGAGGCACTGAGTTCAACCTTCAGCACCACATAAAAAACTAAACAAATAAAGGCATGCTGTCCACCTACAACTATAAAAAAAATTTTTAAATCTTATTTTATGATATCATGTTCATAATTTTAAAATGCTGTCATATAACACAACATTTGAAAACACAATAAGCATAAAAAATGTTTTAGGTTAATGATTAGTCAGAGGGCAGGATGAATTTGCTTTTTTTCCTAGGGATTTTCACTTTAAAATACATCCTAAGGTAAATTGTTCAAACAAATCAGTAAGGCTAGATTTGTAATTGGCACTAGAGATTGGACCCAAGTTCAAGCACTGAGCCGCATCCCCAGCCTTTTTTATTTTTTATTTTTTAAAAATTTTTATTAGTTATTGATGGATCTTTATTCACTTATTTGTTTATATGTGGTGCTGAGAATCGAACCCAGTGCCTCACGCATGCTAGGCAAGTGCTCTACCAATGAGCCACATCCCCAGCCTTTTTTATTTTTTATTTTGAGAAAGAGTCTCACTAAGTTACTTAGGTCCTCACTTGAGGCTGGCCTTAAACTTGAGATCCTCCTGCCGTTGCCTCCCAAGCTGCTGGGATTACAGTCATGCACCACCAAGCTGTACTTCCTATACTAGATTCTTAAGCAAATATAATGAAAATAGAATAGTTACAAACTAATAAACAATATATAAATGTATAATAAGTTTTTATCTTAAAATGCATTTTAAAATTATATATTTTATTATTTTATTTTTAGTACTGGAGATTAAACCCCATGGTGCTACATCCCTAGTCTTTCATTTTTTTTGCTTAGGGCCTCATTAAGTTGCTGAGGCTAGCTTTGAACTTGTGATCTTCCTGCCTCAGCCTTCCTCAGTCATCAGGAATATAGGTGTGCACCACTTTGCCTGGCAAAGAAAAAAATACACATATATGTAGTATATCAGAACTATATCCCCAAAAGTCTTGTCAGAAATACCAGCCAATTCAAACAGAGGAAGTTGGACATGGGGAAGTATTTGCACACCTTGTTAGATTTGCTGCGGAACCGAACAGGCCTTAATGAAGCAGCCCAGAAGTTAGCTCTAGCAGAAAGGGGTTCGGTTCCCACTCCAAGACTGGAGGGACACAGAGAAAGAGGAGTCCACTGGCCATGTCAGTGGACCATGGAACCACAGCAGGAGCTGCAGCAGGCAGACTTGTGTTCAAGTCTTAATCCCTGGTCCCTATGAAGGTTGTGACCTTAATTGGAAACAGAGACATTGCAGATGTCATCAAGTTACGACGAAGTCACCCTGAACTAGAGTGGCTCCTAAATCCAAGGGATGGTGTCTTTATGAAGAAAAGGACAGATTGGAAACAGAGACTCAGAGGAGACACGGGGGGGGGGGGGAAATGCCCCATGAAGACGGATGCAGAGATTGGGGTGATGCCGCCATAGACCAAAGAACTCCAGGGTGGTCAGTGGGCCAGGCCGCTAGGCAGGGAACACAGGTCAGTCACCCTCAGACCTGCAGAAGGACTCACCCTGCTGACGCCTCTGTGGAGCTGCGGGTGTTGAACTGTGAGAGAATAACTTTCAGTTTCCCAGGCCACCCACTCTGGAGATTCATCATGGCAGCCACAGGGAAGGCACACAGGCGCTGTCCAGTAGGAGCTGGGACCACAGAAGAGAGGCAGCCTCCCCCAGAGACACCACAGGATCCAGAGAGAGGGAGAGATGCCTTCTCACCTGTCTCCACTGGCAAGATCTGGCTGGGAAAGGTCACTTGAGAGCTTGCATGGGGTGAGCCCAGGGACAGAGATCAGAGAGGGCCACCGTCAGAGAAAGTATCGTGGCACAAAGAGGATCTGACCAGTGCAACTCCCATGTCATCATGCACCAAACTACCCTTTAAAGGACCCATCCCTCTGCTAAGAACAAGGAGTGTTCAGCCACACAGCATGGTTATATTTGTATTTCAGAAGGACCCTGTGGCTGCCGTGTGATAGGCAGCAGCACATCCAGCTGCAGCTGCTTAGGTGACAGTGATGGCCGCAGAAGATTCTGGAACCATTCAGAGGGCAAAATGGGAGGAGCTGTGACTTGGAGGCTCAG